TAAACTTAGTCATGAATGATTTGTTGTTCACTTTCATTATTTTCTGATACATTTGTTTCTATTAATGATTCATCCGTTTCTTTATGTTCAGTTATAATTGGTTGAGATGATGTTGATGCTTGTAATTCGTCATCTACATGATTAGTTTCATTAGGATTATTCGAATCATTTTGTTGTTGATCATTTAATGGAGGCTGAAACTGAAAATAAAATTTTTTAATTCAATAAATATTCAAATGGAATAAAACTTTTAGTAAAAAGTTAAATTTTATTCTTCAATTCTTCTATAAATTCTGGATACCTAGAAAAGAACTTCATCAAGTAAAAACGTGTTTGGGAGATGATTCTATGACCATCAAAATCGACTTTCGAGTTCCCATTTCGCATATATAAAATATAAATACTAGAAGTAAAATTTTCTTTGTCGAATAACAGAATTTTTAATAGTAATATCTACGGATAGAAAATACTGGCAAAAGATGATACTTCTTATGAATAAATTATTCCTATTGAATACTGCAAATTCGAAAGTAGTCAGAAATGAATGCGACATATTGTTGAAAAACTCACTATATTGATGTAAGGATCATCCTCGAAAAGATTTATCAATTGGTAAAGTTTCCTCCTTTGCAAAAAAAAAGTCAATTAAAAAAGAACTGTTGAAAGACGCTCTAATAATTGATAGACTCTTACAAGTGAACATATCTAGCTATTAGATGTCGTTTGTCTTCCCCTTATAGTTATGACTAGACCCTTATGAAACTAAGAAAAAATGAAAAAGATTCAGATCCAAGGCCTACTGATTGGTCGCTTTCATAAAATTTTCAATAAAAATGAACATGTCTTTCTTAAAGTATTCAATTTCCAAGTACATTCGATTATTGTGTTGTTCTTTAATAAATCACTGTTTATTTGCTTAAATTGAATATCTCACAAAAGACATGTTTCGTTCTTATTGAAATTTTCAGAACTATATAATAACTACTAAAATTACTTATTCACAAAATTTTAGATTTAAACTCTTTGTCTTAATTTTTATGGGTATGCCTTGAACTCACCAAAACCTCTCAGTAAGATTAGAAAAATTCTAAATGGGTTTATTCTCATAGACCTCTATAGCCAATTTATGACTGTTTTTACTAAATTTACGATTCACTGTTAAGTACTTATAGAAAATCACATATGAGAATTTCAATCTAAAATTTCTCTGGAAATATCTTAAAAGTTTCATCCAAAAAAGAATATTGTTTTGTTAAGATATTGAATTTTCAATTAAACGCTAGTTTTGTAGCAAACGACCATTTTTTAAAATTCCTTATCTTAACACATGTATATTTTTTTCGGTTGAAATTTTCAGGATATTTCCAGAGTCATTAGATGTATCTGTAAGCAAAATTTCAGATTGAAATTTCTTTTATTTGACTTTTAGGTAAATACCTAAACGTGAATCGAGAGTTCAGTATCATGGTCACAACTTAACACGAGAGGCTCATGGGTACAGATCCTTTTAGGATTTTTCTAGTCTTCCCGAGATCTCTTTGTGAACACAATACGAGCTCAAATAGTAGATATCAGTAAGCCAAACGTTCGAATGCTTTTGAGTATTCCTTAATCTCACCAAGATTTACTCATAGTAATAATATGAAGTTGAATGCCATTCGACATCTAAATGTGTTTCCTTGTTTGATTTTTTTCTTAGATTTATATCTTCGACATTCTCCTTCATTAATAAACTTAGAAAATGATACTCTGATTTGTTGTCAAACATTGTACAGATGATTTATCATGTAATATACAATCGCTAATAACTCTGTTAATTCTTCTACTATATAGTAATTTGTTTTAAGTATACTTAAACTAATAATCTATTCGCATGGTCTTTCGAAATCATCAATGAGTTTAAAACAATTGAAAGCATCTCTTGAATAAAAAGAAGTATTATCACTGGTAATGTTTCTTTGGGCTACATATTCATATTAATCCGATTGAAATTTACCAAAAAAAAATAATAAGTTGCATATTAAACTATATTTCTTTTTTCGTTTCTTACTCGAGTTGGATCTTCGTGAGCTTGATTTCCTTCATCATGTATTGAACGTTCTTGAATACTATTTGATGCTGTTGTTAAATCATAAAGATGCTGTTGTACATCACGTAAACGTTTTTCAACTTCACTTTTTTCATGTTGTAAACGATCAATATTAGCACATAGTGATAAAACTTCATTAAGTAAAGCAGCTCGACTAAATGCTGCATAACGTTCATAACGACATTGATAATAAATATCATTAAAATCATCGTCAACTGATGGATCAACATCACCAAAACCGACACCTTGATTACTTTCAGTATCATCACTTTGTGCATCAGCATCATTCATTTCGAACATTTGATCATACGGGACCGATGGTTGACCTTGTGTAGTGGATGGAGAAGGAGCTTTAAATAGAAAAAAAAATGTAACAACAATGTGTTTTTCTTGTCTAATGTTAAGTATATACGAATTCTGTAATATTCAGGTCCTAGAAGTTTATTTATTAACAATAGGATTTTAAGGGATACAAAATACGATGATCTCTCCTTTTGTGATCTTTAAAATAGCATTATTATAAAAATAGCCTTCTGAGCTCTAAGCAACTACCATGTTCTGTTTTTTCTTCTAAAAATCTGTCTACATAATGTATTAGATAGAAAACTTCATTGACTATTAAAATACTATCTAGATTCGAGTTATTTGCTTAGTATTATGAAAAAAAAAACACATATTATTTTACTTGTTTGATGAGTTGGTGTTGGTGTTGCTATTGATGATGGTGTTTGGCGATTGTGATCACGTATAAGAAATTGTGTTGTATTCGATGGTGCTAATACATCAAGTTTCTTTTTATCACGTTGAACTTGTGCCGAATGAATTAATTCATATTCTGATTGTGACATACCAGGTGGTGTACCTAAAAAAAGTATTAAATATAAATTAATATTTGTTCAATTATGAAATGAATTAATATTTACCCATCAATGCAGCAGGTGTACGTGGTAATGGGTGTGCTGGACGATAGGAACGTTGTTGTTGAGGAGGTAAAGGCTGTCGAAATTGATAAGGATGATAACGAGAACCAGCTGTTGGACGTTGTTGTCGATGAATTGTTGTTGATCCTCGACCACCACGATTTCCACTTCCGCGTTGATGATGTTTCATTCCACCACCACCACTTCCCGTTGTTGATTGTTGAAAATTACTAATAACCCCGTAACGTAATGTTTGAGGAGGACCTGATAATAATGGTGCAGGTGGTAAAGAATTTGAATACATTAATGGCATTCGAGTTGAATTACCACGTCGTTGTTGCTGTTGTTGTCCTACTGGATGCATTTATCTAAGGGAAAAAATGGCATATTTTTATTGCGTAAATAGAACAAATATAATGGAATAGAAAAAAAATATATATTGAAATGATGATGCGGATCAACTCGGCATAACACAATTGGCTGATTTATTTTATTTGCTAATTAGATATAAATAACAAATGAAATTTTGACTATAAACCTCTGACAACTTTTGATTATAGAAAATTATAGATGGTGTTAGTGTGAATAATTTTGGATAATTTAATTTTTTATGAGACCTTATTTTTCGAAGTAATTTTGTTCTGTTCATTAATATTATTAATAATATTTCTTGAAGAGATATATTCATATATTGTTAATATATCTCATAAATAATTTCAGACAAAATTATAATTGATTTCTTTTATTATCGTTTTGTTTGAGGTCCTGCTTGACGTATCTATAAAAAACCTCCTCCCATGAATTATCAATACAACTGAGTATCCTCATTATATATTTATTTTTTTTCCTATGCGAAAAATAAGCAGATAGTATCGATAGTATTATGTATCTAATTTATTATTGGACAATCAAGTTTTCGTTTAAAGTCAATATTCAAATCAGGAGCTGTAATCCATTATTAATCCGAATTACATTGAAATATATTCATAAGACAAGTAATCAAATCATATTTAATGATGAGACAAATAACAATTATACATCAATAATATGCTTCTTTAAAAAGAAGACAAATAAATCAATGCTTAACAGGCTGAGATATCTCAGAGCTGTTAGCCTTGAAATGAATCTTCTTCATCTGGAATCGAAATACAAGGTATTATCGTCTATTATTTTATCTGATCCTTTTTGCATAGAAGAAATCGCTTTCACATTTATTTCGACAAACTAGTAAAACATGATTTGTCATTCAGTAATTTCACATGATATCATTCCAGAAAAATCTCACACATGATAATTGCTATTCAGAATTAAAATTATGATTGAATAAGATAAATTACAAAATCATTCAGTAGTTATCAATGAACTTCGATGTCTGAAAATATTCGGGAGAAGTCAAGTTCAGTCTTTTTTGGAAAGTATACGATGAATGGTTTTTAATAGGCGGTTGATCTATGTACTTGAACTAAAAGTATTTTTTGTTGTTTAGAAAAAAAAAGTTTGGGACACAAGTGTTTCAGAATATTTCGCAAGTGCTTGTCAGCCATGGAAAATAATGAAAACAATTTAATTATTTATCTATGTTCTATTGAAACTGTTAAAAAGCAAAATAAATTTCAAAGAAGACATTGTGAGCTATTTTTTCAAACAGAAGTGATACAAAACTTTAATATCACTTATTATTTTTAGCATTGTGAATCATATTGTATTTTTGTATTTGCTTATACTCATACAAAATTAATTTTTTTTATATAAGTTATTTAACGTTTAATCTTCTATAGGAAAGACTGAAGACAAAGGATGAACTCTATGTGCATCATCTTCTTTCAATCTTAAGAATTATAATTTTATATATGAATCTTGTATATAGAAATAATGATAAGTATGTCTCTGAATGATTACTATTTTTATTATCCAGCTAAACCGTCGATAGAATTATTCAATTAATTTAATGACTCAATAGAAAGAATAAATTATTTGTATATTTCTTTTTTTTAATAATTCATATGCTGACGAATGAATGTAAAAAAATGTTTATGTGCATCATTTTTTGCAAATTTAGTTGCAATTGTTCCATGTGTACTATTAACAGTAACATAATCAACAGAATGTTGATAATTTTGAAGTTTTTCTACAAAACGTTTTGCATCAATTTCTAAACCCATATCAAATCGTGCAGACATAACTAAAAATGGTGGTATTTCTTCATCTTGTTTTATATATTCAATTGGTGAATATTCAGTCATTTGTTTTCCTTCAGGATAAAGTAAATTATTGGAATAAAATATGAGAAATATTAAATTACGTATATTATTTTTTGAATCATGTACTGGATTTGCTAGACTATATATGCCACTCATAGATATAACACCACGTATTATTGACAAAGGAAATTCATAACGTCGTAAATGAGATTTATCAAGAACAAGTAAACTAACCAGATGTGCACCAGCTGAATGACCAGAAAGAAATATTTGATTTGGATCAGCATCTGGACAGTAGTCATTTATATGATCACGAATATATACAAGTACGCGACACAAATCATCCATCATCTGAAAGACATACATATTTTTATCAGTTGTATTAATCGATTATTGAGGATAAAATATAAGGCAAGTCAATGTTTTCTCAGTAACTTTCGACAAGAATAAGACAGTTGATCAATTATATGACTTCTTGTGAAGAATTTTTGAAAACAGTTTTCTAGAGAACTTTTTAGTTGGATTTTAACTAAAGCTGTGATTGTTCGATAGAAAAAAACTCTTTTCTTTTTCTCTACACAAATTGACCATGTCTAACGTGTTCTATTCAAGAGTTACACGGATTTTTCGAAGATCCCTAGTTTCGGTCTAATGACCTCGAAACCCTGTGAAAGAAGTCAAGACATGCGTAATTCACTACAATGATTCGAGCTGTTATGTTTGTTTTTAGTTTCAAAACGATCTAGAATCACTCTATAAAGAATACTTGAAGTCTGATGTTTTGCTTCTATATCATGGACAGTTAATTTTTCAAAGGTCTTGATATAATGATTTGAGATCGTTTTGAAACTACATACAAGTATTAGTGTTTGACTCAGTGTAGTAAATGATGCATGTCTTAGATTATTTTGGAGTGTTCTAGGATCACTAGGTCGACATTAGAGGCTTCGAAAAATTCGTGTAGCTCTTGAAGAGAATGATTTAGACACGATGGTTCTGCATAGAATGAAAGAGAAAAGTGTTTTTTTTATATAGATTAGTCACAACATAAATCAAAACCGAACTGGACAGTTTTCCAGAAAATTATGTTCAAAATTTCCGACCAAAACTCATTTGATTGGTCAAACATCTCATTCCTATCAAAAGTTATTCAGAAAACATTAACCTGCCTCTTTTTCTTGGCGTTGATAACAAGTTCACTTACATGTTCAACATTGACTGGTATGCGCACTCTATACAGAAAATTATAAGCGTAAGCAAAAGTCATAAATGCTACATAACCAGTTATAAATTGCCATGAAAGTAAACTAAGTCCAATAATAATCACAACAAGACCAAAAACAAATGACCAAGCAATAAATGATATAAGAGATATACGTGCTAAACGATAGGAGGCAACTATACCAACGAAACCTTCATGAGCACATGTTCGACCTACAATTGGACCACCACGCCACTCATCTGTACGATTACCACGAACCCAACCACCACCATGAATATGAACAATAATAGGAATTTGCTTTTTACTTGTTGCTTGTTGCTCATCTGCTGTTCTTATTGATAAATTTGTGTTAGGACAAGGAAGAAAAATATCCAATTTATTATTGGTATGTGCATCAGAACCAGAAAAATAAGCTACATTGCGAATAATTAACGATTGATCATATTTTGGTGTAAGATGAAAAAGTCGTTTAAGATAGTAAACATAAGACATCTAAAGTTGAAAATTACCGTCAAAATCCGAGTGATCAAAAACACATGTTATCTTAAATGAATAACAATTATAAATTAGTCGGATATTGAGTACATGTGATTAACAGAATTAGTAATCAATTACAGTAATCAAATTTTATCTAATTGTCCATTGATTTGGAAAAAAAATATCATATGAGAAATTGATTGCATTTAAATATAAATAAAACAAACGATGAAATTTTCTTCTACAATAGTTGTGCCAGGATTAGATTAAAAGAGCTTATCATTGCAACTTGTTTGAAGTCAAGATATGGAACATTCCTATGTGGCTTCCTTATATTAATACAAAATATGTAAAATGAAAAATTTTTAACAAACTATAATTGCCTTCCAAGAATAATCGATCATTTTAGATACGACTTTACTTATCACTTCTTTATTTTGAAAAGAATTTACTAGCGTGTTAGTTTTATTTGTCTTGCCGTTCTTTTTGTTGTTTATTCGATGTTTTTCAATCATCTGTTATTATTATTATTCTAATCATTGATTTAATAGACGAATTAGCCTGCTGTACGAATTTATTGTTTTTACAATAGATCTTAATGTGCTATTATATAGCTCGATAAACTTTGAAATACTGATATTGATTATTTCGAAAAATTAATATTTGATCAGTTCATGCAATTTTAGTGTTCATTAAACAACAACAATGGTAAATCAATATATCACTAGTTATCATTCTTAATATATTCAATGTAATAGTTTATAAATGCAAAAATCTGAAATTGTATTATTTAGACTGAAAAATAATTAATCACTTTTCAGTCAAGATTTTATAAAACTTGTAGATCCTAATGAGCTACAAATAAACTGAAAACGGTTTGATCCTTTAGCATATTGCTACCGAAATATTAAATTTTTACAGTATTTTTCAAGCCAATATCGTGATCTCCCTCATGAACGCTAGAAAAACTTATTTTCAAATGTCAAACTAGAACGTTCCATGGAGACTAACCTCACCGAGAATAGTTTATTGTGAAAGTTTCAGATCATTTCGTTGTTTCTACTTTAAGATACAGCTATGATAAAAGTTTGTCTTGTACACTGCTTATATAAACTGAAAGATTTTAGGTTCTTATTTCGGAAAAGGAGCAAATCAAAAGATGAAAAACTTTCACAATAAACTATTCTGGGTAAGATCTGTCTGGACGACAAGTTTTAATTAGATATTTGAAAACAAATTTTAATAGTGTTCCTGAGAGAGAAACAACGGTATGGACTGAAGGCTTCCTCCGTCCTCCGAAATCGGTTTTCGATATAGTGCATGGAGTTTCTATGAAATTTTTTAAAAATGTTCGACTAATGCAAGTACACTAATACAAAAATTGACAATTCTGAATCTTATTGATCAGAAGATTTCCAGAGGCTATAGTGCAAAATAGTGCTTTCATGCATGCAAATATTCTTTCAATATACTTCAAGCTACAGCGCTTGCACTAGTTTCATTTGAAAGAGAACTCCTTATCGCTTCAGATGAGGGAATGACACTTTGGTTTCGTTTTTGAGACGCTCAAAATCTTAAAACTACAGCAATCTTAGAAAATGTTTTTCTAGAAAACTCATTATTGCTTCGAACTCGAGAGTCCAATAAAAAATTCCTCTTTCTCGTCCGAAGGAGAATGTACCTATCTATCGAATAAAAAAAGCAATGTTGTTCACTAGAAGGAGCACTATCGAAAAAGAAATTTGTTCAGACTTTGACAAATTATGCAAAAGCCGAATTTCGAGAATCTTTTTGTATATTTGCATGAAGAATTTTCTAACGTAAGCGTCAAGCATGATTATATTACATACCAATTAAAAGCTTATCTAGAGTCTTATCGAGTGGTCTTCTAGCTACTCGTTGTGCTATGATATGAGAAGACAACTGTGATTGTCATTATAATTTTCCTATGAATTTAAGTGTTAGTCTTTCTGCTGGAGAGCTCTAGATACTTGAAGAATAATGTGTACATCTTTATCTCAAAAAAGTGTCTTTCTTTTAGAAAAGTCAATTTTTTTTGCAGTGAGAAGCCTTTGAAAAAATTTGTAAAAATCCAGCATCTTAGTAGCAATCAGCTGAAGATTCGACCACTGCTCAAGGTATTCATTGCTTATTAGGATCTATATGCATATAGTTAGAACTCCAAAGTAGAGTTCTCCTCGGCTGCTAAAATGAGTAGGAAGAAAAATGAGTCGGGAAACTTCGACTTAAAATTTACACTGCCTGTTTTCCTTTAAAAAAAAAACAATATTTGAGTTTCATAAAAGCAATGATTATTCTTCTACAATAGCCATTTCATGCATCAGGATTAGGTTTTTAAAAAAAGCAATGAAATAATTTCATCATTGAAGAAAAATGTTAATTAGATTTTTAAATAACATTCATTAATTAAAATTTATGTTCAAAACAATCGTAGATCATCAACATAAGACCTTATATTTATTTTCATTGAACTCAATGATATTCATATTTAATCATACACAAAATTCAATACACAATTCGTTTGCATTCTGTAATTTAATCTATACACGTGCTCTTATTCATATTGTTAGTAATTGTTAGTAAATGATTATTGTTCAATATGTATTTTTAGCATCCGTTTTGCCATTGTCAAATCTCACTCTCATGTCTATATATTGTCTGGATAATAGTTGCCTAAAAAAAATAGAAAAAATTTGAATTTTATCGGAAGAGTGCATATATCACTGAGACATTATAGTAAAAAGTATATATATTACTCTACATGCAAACAAAGAATATTATAAAAAAATTCAAAACAGTGGAAAAGTGTTCTTTTTTTCGTTTTTCAAGAAGGATCATATTTCACTTTAGAATAAAGTTTAGGTACATCAACTAATTCATGTCTCCAAAAGATTGTCAGTGCTAATGTTAATATTGTTGTTACACCCCAAAATAGAATATGAGTCACTTGTTCATGAAATGTTGCAGCTGGTATTAATAAATTAATAATACACATTGAAAACGCAATGAGCATTGCAACTGGTAATGCCAAAAGTTTTTTACTTATTTCTTTACTAATTGGACATGATTCTGGTGCACGACCTTCATTGGATGATATTTGATGATTGCCCAAAAAGAGATCAATACCATCCTTTGATTTAAGAAGAAAATCGAAACAATTTAGAGAAGATTTTAAAAGAACAAGTTATTTCTTACTTGTCGAAAACCATCAAAGAAATTATTTAATATATAACGCATACATGAATTATAACCATCTTGGACTAGACCCATCATTGATCGTTGACCAGTTCTAAATCAATAGACAAAGAATATCATCATAAGTCTTATGAGATTACACTGTGAAACACGAAGATAAAACATTCAAAATCAACTATGGATTTCTCATTTTGCTTGTCATAGGCTATGGTTGAAATAGATGTAAAAAGAAAATAGATCGATACATGAGTCTTGTAATCTCAAGGTTTTATCCATTTGAGTCTTTTTATAATTAGAACTTTCTATCTTACAAACATATCATTCAATGCTTGTGACTGCATCGAGATCCTATCTTAGATGGAATTAGATACGATTCGGAACGCGAAGTGATCAAATTATCACATCATAAGTTATGAAAGTATAAAGATAAAAAGCGTTGTTTCACTTTTTTTTATATACTGAAGTCGCACACTTCTTTAAGACATACACAGTAAGAAGACAGAGATAAAATTGATCATGACTAAGATCATTCCATTTACGGCTGCTTGGATATCAAATGATCAGTTGGGGCGAGAGAAAACGTCCCGAAAATATCAGTCATTGTCATATGGGGATAGAACGAGTGATCACATGTTTAACACTACGTAGCAGTTTCTTTAAGTTTCATTTTTCAGCCAATAGTCCAGAGTCTTACGGGACGAAGTTTTTCCGCGTTCTGAATCCCGTTTTATCTTTAAAATGCACAACCTCAAGTATTCTGCACGTATCTACAATTGTTTTTAATTTCCATTGAAAATCGTTTTTTTGATATAGGTTTCTCTAGCACATACCAAAAACGCTGAGATCATTGCGGAGTTGGAAGATGAAATTAACAAAGTCTCTTTGTTTCCAATTTTTTATAGGATCTGGAAAAAAGATACCTATAGAGAAGTATCAAAGCTATTAAACCTTTGAGGATCGTGAGACACTCTATGTCCCACAGTCCTCAAAGAGTTAAACATAAAAGTTATAATCCAACATTCTCAAGCAATGCACCGAGTCAAACAGTTTAAAGATTTTTCGCAAAGATGGTAGTAATTTTCGATTAAAAAAAATTATTGGAGAGGGCATCGAGATCATGCGATTATTCCCATACATTTGATTATTTAATAAATGGATCAGATTTATATAATGTTAGTTTTGCACTTTAAAGTTCTTTGATTTGTATATTATCGAATATTTCTTCTTAAAAATCATTTTACGACTTGGCTGTCGCCCAGATGAGACTTGTGACTAAAAGCTAAGTGCTGAGCATTAGTACTAATATCTTGACATTGTTATGTCTATTTGAGGTATGAAAAAATGTTGTGGAGTCTTGTAACTTATTTTTTCAGAAGTTCTGATACTGTTTTATTTTTCATTACCTTGTGTAATCTGTTTTTAATGCACCGGTTCCAGCATATTGAAAACTAATAGTGTCAGCATTATCTGCCCAAACTATATTAAAATAATTAGATAAAAATCTTAAATTAATAACCAATAGAAAAAAGGGTATCTTTTTTATTCACTATTCTTAAATGTATGACTTAATTGTTTATATGAATCAATTGTTTCATTATATTTAATAATATTATAACGTTGTAGTTGTTGTTCTAACATTCTTTTAGCTAATAGTGTTTGTACAACATTTGTTCGATCGAGACAATCAATACAATTTGTACGAAATACACCAGTTTGTTGAACTTGTGATGTACCATCTTTAGTTAAGGCAAAATATCTTAATTAGAAATATCCATTTTCATTTAAAAAATTGAATATAA